AACCCGTTACCTTTCAACCAATGAACATGAAACCCGTTGCCTTTCAACCAATGAACATGAAACCCGTTGCCTTTCAACCAATCACATCCGCAGAGATGAGGCCAACCCGGGGATGAACATGGTGGTGGTGGAGGGAGGTCCGAAGGCCGTGCGAGCCTACACCAAGCTCATGACACGCCGCATACGCTGGGGGGAAGAGGAGTTCGGGGAAGGGGACTCGGATTCTAACAGGTTAGGAGGAGCAGTAAATGCTGTGGTGTTGCGAAGCGATGCGAAGCGGTATGTACGGCGGAGCCCCTTTCGGATTTGATTGATTGATGGTGCCACAAATCCCGCCGTCGTCTTTGGTTGCACGGCGTTTTTTTTCATATGCTCGTTTTTTTTTTTTGCCTCTAGTGACACCCGACCGGTAACTGCTCGCTGTTTTGTTCCTCAGTGGCATTCGACCGGAAACTGGCTTGACCAATCAGAATGCGTCTCTCGTTTTCTTTTTTGCGGGACGAGCGAAATACTGTTCACGGGGCCTCCCCGCGAGCAAAGGGATGCGGAGGAAACTGAACCGAAACGTCGAGCAGTCCATTTTTTTGGGGTGTGTTTCTCTAGCACTCTCAATTTTGTTTTTTCACATCTGATAGGTGCTACTTGTACTGGGGACCCACTAGACTAGTACTTTTGTACCACTACAAGGCACACCCCATCTTATTAGCTAGCATTGGATTGACGATGTGAAAAGTTTGCTCGTTCGGTAACGGACGGGGGTTGCATGCGGACGAAACTATGCAGTTCGCGATTAGTTTTTTCTTGTTTCTTTTGTTTTTTCGGCCTCTTCATTTTCGGCGAAAGGCAAGCATTTCCAAACTTCAAACTTACATCGTTGATGTTCCGGCGTAAGGTTAGCTGTTAGTGTGGTTGATGGTAACGAGGCATTACCCCAAAAGCCGAAGCCGTCAGAATCGTTTTTTGCCGTACCGTAAGTTGACAGCCAGGCTGCTACCAGTAGGTGAGACTATAATAGCAACCAATCAACAAGCAAGTCATTAACGCTAGAGTAATAGCCTGTTCTAAAAATCGTTTTTATCAAGTGTTTTGCTTCCACCCCACTCCCACGTCATTCCCTATCCCCCCCTTTGGTCCCTTGCCCCTTCCGTATGGTGATTCGCGGCTGGTTTGACGTGCGGTGTGACGCTGCGCGATAGCGACGAGGAGGTATCGAAGCCGGCCCTGTCAGGGTGCATGTGCGAGGTGGTATGGCAAGGCACTGTGCAGACGAGATCTTTCCCTGCGTTCCGATTCCAGGTACGTGAGGGGGGGACGGGGGCGGGTGTACTCATAGTCGTGCATGCCGTAGTCGTTAGACCATTCACCATTGACATCGTATCCCTACAAAACCGGGCCGGAGCACGCCGGGTTCTCACCGGACCAGGCGGTCGTCTTACCAAGCACGAAGCGCCGTGAAGGGAGCGGCAATAGCGCAGCCAGTCAGTCTGCTTCTTGTGTCTGGGGACATTGCTTCATGCTTTGCGGCATGTTTCTGTGATTGTGCTGGCCGCAAGTTTCTACTGCTGTCTTGTGGTTGATCGGGAACCGGGTGCGTGGAGGTGGGAGCAGCAGTAGGGCAGCCTGCAAAAAACCTACCTGGGTGGTGCGTCTAAGTGGCAATGCTTCTGCTTTGCGGCAAGTTTCTGTGCTTGCTTGTGGTTGTTCGGAAAAATCCGGCGACATCGAATCACAAAGACTGGTTGCTGTCAATCCCCGAGACCGTCGCTCAAGGGAACCTGTTCCGCGATTTTTTTTTTTTCGGGACGGGGGGGGGAATGCCTCACGCCCGCAGAAACAACACCGGAAACACAAAGGTGCAATTCTCTATCCCCGCACGTCGTAAGACGTCAGATTTATTTATCTTGCAAGCGTAAAAAGGGATGCGTGCTGCTGCTCTCTTGGTACTACGCGATGACGAATGCCTTCGGCTACATGTTCATCCCACCTTTTTTTTATTATTGTGCGACGGCGGTGTTGTCGACTCGATATATATCTGAACGGCGTGGGAGTCGCAGTCGGGTATGAAAGGACTTTACATCTACTTTTTCCTATCATTTGTTGGATTTTCGAGGTATGAATGACTATATAGGACCATGGGCGCGATTGCGTACTGTACCTACTCCGGCCACGAGCGAACGAAGGTCGTTGTCTACCAAATCGTTTCTGATACGAGCGGTCCTTGTCGACCTTTGAGGCGAAGGTTGAGGTTTCCCTTCGGCTGCCGAATGACTGACTCTCTTTAGTCGTTAGTTGGGCATGCAGCAGTTCGACAACAACAAAAAAAACAGTCATGAGGGGCACAATTGAAAGTCTACGACAGACGGAGCGGTGCTATGAACGAGGCCTATGCGCCTGCATGCATCCAAAGCACGCGTCAGGCATTTGTCACGCAATCCCCTCCCTTCCCCTCGATATCCTTGTAGCTCACTGCTGTGCACCCACCCCCACCCGCCCCTGTTATATCTGCGTGACCCCCAGGAGTGCAAGTCACCCGAAACGGCCCGAAAAGTCATGGACGAGAAGGGAGTGGCGCACCTGTGGGACATGGTGGTGGCCAGCGCGAAGGCCGCTAGAGCATCCGCGGCTAACGCTGGCGCGATTGGCGCGGGCTTAGGATACTGACCGTTAGAACGTGCTCCGCGTTCGTTCGTTCCCTAGATGACGTGAATGTTGCGGTGTCGTTCTTTGGAATGGGAGGTGATGGTGGTGGTGGTCTACATGTTGTGCTGAGGGCGCTGGATGGAGTCCGTAGCCAAATGCTAAGGGCGACTGCCCCAGAGCGCTCGATTTTGGTCGGGGGGGGGG